ATATATGTATAACATTGTCTTGGTGGGGGTGGTGGGGGGGGGGGGGGGCTTGAACGATTTTTAAATAAAGTAACTGTTGTCCAACAGTTTTCAGTGAGAATAAGTATAAAACTCATGCACTCTTATAATCCTAGAATTAAAATATATTGTCATGCAGGCTTGGGGTCAATTACTTTGAAATGTAATTAATTACTTTCAAATACATTGATAATTTTGTCAATTACTTGCAATTACAATTACATTGATTTTTTCAAATGTAATTAATTACTTTCAATTACTTTGACAAATGTAATTAAATACATTTCAATTACTTTGAGTTTTATTTTTATACAAAAAGATTTTTTTTAAATAAGATTTTTTCTATAGCGATCGAATTCGAACTTTCATTAAGTGTTTTTGTTCTTGGGTATTATAGGGGTTCACATCTGTTCAAAATTAGACCTTTACCTTATAATGAGTGTGACACACTGTATAAACAAATTAAACATTATAAGGGACAATTAATTATTGTACAAACACAAGCCCATGCTACACCAGTATGGTGTATGGCAAGATCTTTTTTGTTACTTTCTCAAATCCATATTTTTGAAGGAAATAAATAATATCTAGGACAGTTCCATTCATTATTTTCTATCCTAAAATGAATAGAATACAGGTAAATCTAAAAGAGGATGTAGTTAGTCTAATTACTGTAAAACAAATTAACTATCTAAACAATCATTGTTATTTGCAAGTGGGATTAGGGAGAACTGAGATTCATAAAACATGGGAATAAATAATTTAACCCACCATTATAAAACTATGTATCAGTATAAGACACCTTTTTAAATATAAACTTTCATTTTGAAAAAAAGTATTTGAAATGTAATTGAAAAGTAATTGAAAATACATGACCTTTTTTGAAATGTATTTAAATACATTCAATTACTTGTAATTGAAGGCTCGCTCAAATACAAATTACTTCCAATTACTTTGAAAAATGTAATTAATTACACTCAATTACAATTACTTGATTCAATTACCCCATCCCTGTTGTCATGTTAAGGCATGACCTGACTCGACAATTTTTACCCCCCCCCCCTTCTAGAATCAAATATCTCCTGAAAAATAATCTTTGTCTTGTATGATCTTTCGCGTTCTTAAAATTATAAGCTAAAACTAATATTAATGTGAACTTCAAACATTTGGAGTTGAAATATAGTTGATTTCTGGATCATACATTCACTCTTTGCTTTGAAACAGCTCAGGTGGATTGAAAATGAATTTCGATCTGCAATTTCAATCCCATGTTTTCCAAACGTCCGCGTTGAATTGTACCCGCCCATTTCGTTGTCTATCACTGAATGTTTTGATTGTAACAGATAGAAATGACGTAAGCTGTATATTTCCAATTTTGCCAGTTAATGTTCCGCGGTCTTATTGTGTCGGGAGGGGTGAGTCTATCATCTGTTCTATCGTTTGCAGATATCTCATACAAGTTTCTAGGTTTGTAGTGTAAAGTGAGCCATATCTGTATATCTCCTGGAATACCTCTGTGTCATGAAGTTCTTTTGGATTTTGTGCAGGCAGTAGAGAAAACGATAAGCCGTGGAATAAACAAAATAAATTTATTTAAATAAAAAAAAAACAACAACAAGAAATTATCAAAACAAACTCACTCTCACAAACTCTCTCTCACAAAGAAAACAAAATATAACTTTAAATTGAAAACCAGATAATATTGACAGTGAAATAAAGATTTAACTTTAAACACAATCAATTGTCAATAAGCAGTTGTTGGTTTCAAACAATAAATTGCAACCTTACTTGAAAAAATCAAATAGAAAAATCAAAACTGTATTAAGTCAGAAAAAAATCACTTTTTCATCAACAAGATCTGTAAATATAAAATTCGTTAAAGGTCCATTTTAATTCTTATCAATGGTTTATTTCTTAAAACCAGAATTGAGAGTTTGACTTTTCGCTATTTTATTCCTTAGAATTTACACCATCGGACCTCCATACATCGAACACCGCCTCTTTGATTTCAGACCCGGACTCACAAGTCTCCCACTAGAAATCTGTAGAATTTAGAATTCAATCCCTATTATTCAGTCGGGAACGTCACTTAATTTCTATGGACACTGTTCTTGCGCACCGGTACCACGCCCTGCGTCATCCATGTGCTCGTGCCGCGCCTTCGCGTCTACACACGACCAAACTCCCCCTTGGGCCCAGAAACCTACTGCCGCCCCAGGTTTATAATCATAACCCCTCTGCACTGAAACAATAATTACTTTATCTAAGACTTAAATACAACTCACTTAAACTACAAATGATAACCGACACCAAACCCGTAAATTTACAACAAAACCCACAAAATATCTAAAATAGAAAATAGCTTACCGGCTGGAGAAAGAAATGCCCATGCAGTAAAATAAACGACTCCTAGGCTACCCGTTCACCAGACTAACTTCTGGAATTCGCCATAGAAAATCGACTACAGGAACAAAATCATCAGGGGTCCACCGTATGCATAGATCAATCAATTTCTTTGAACTTCATTTGATTTTAATTTGGATCTAATGATAAGATCGCCTATATTCTTGTGTTTGCCACCATAGGGGGTGTTGTGAATAATTCTTTGCATATATCATCATCAAGTATGTAACTCCAATATTTCGTAAGTCGTTTCCTTAACCTCTTTATACATGAGTTAAACTTGGTGACCAAAACGTTTGGTATAGCCTTTTTGTTATTTTTCTTCTTTGATTTTTTAAGAAGATCCATTCTATTTGCAGAAATAGTTTCTTGCGTAATAGGTTCAATATCTGAATGTTTATAAACTCTTTTTACGAGATGAGTTTTGAAATCTCTAAAGATAACTTCCAGTACAACTTGATCACTAGTATTTCTCAGATGTCTCGTACATTCTCCTTTAATTAGGCCTTTGAAAACTGATGGGCTATGAGCACTTTGCCTGTGCAAGTATTGGAAGCTGTTCGTAGGTTTGGTATACGAGCGAATGTCTTATCGCTGGCTATCTAAGAATCTTGTGCCTTTGTAAATCGTAGCGTCCAAGAAGTTGACACTTGTGTGAGATATTTCATAAGTGAATCTCAAATATTTATGACAAGAGTTCCCTATGTCAAAAATTCTTTAATATAATCCGAGCTTCCGTTAAATAGGATAAAGCCGTCATCTTTAAATCTGCCGTGATAAATAAGTTTGTCGGCATGTTGAAATTTTGATATTACATCATCAATGATGTCTTTCATACGTATATATTATATCCAGTTTTTATAATTCTCAAAATATCATCAAATGCACCTATCTTTTCCCAGAAATCATAATGCTTGTGCAGACTATTTTTCACTCCTGTATAAGACTCATTTGAATCTTGTACTGATAAAAATTAGCAATGTTCAATCATTATCTCATTATCAGTTATCTGATCAAACATATATACAGATAGTATATACTTATCATCAAGTTGACTTAGTACTGGAGCCTGCACTGCTGGTGTATTGACCTGCACTGCTGGTGTATTGACTGTTGAGGGGACATCCTATTTTCCAATGCCCAGTCTGGAAGCACTTGTAGCAGAAGTCGCTGGGCTGTGGTGTCCGTCTGCTACTGTAGCGAAAGGGCTGCTGAATAAATTTGCTGGTGCCGGCTTGTTGTACTGTGTTTGCCTGTTGCAATGCGAGTACGGAAAGCTGAGCAGCAGAACCAGCAGCAGCAGAAGGAACGGGCTTACCATAAGGTTGGAAAGGCTTTTTAATCTGTCTTTTGTGTCTGAGGGCTCTGTTCTCCGCGCTCCTAATCTTTTTCTCGTCATCTGAGTTGTCGGCAATATCATTACATTGGTACTCTTGTACTGTCTTCCACCCTGCTGGGGAACCGCCTGCAATTCTGATATACTTTTGCCTAGTTTTAAGTTTTTCATTGATTCGTTTAACAACTTTGTCATGATGAGTAGATAAATCTTTGAGTTTATCAAGTTCCTCTAACAATTCCTCATTAAACAAATACTGAACCTTGTTTCCTTCGTATTTTAACTTCCCAGCTATGTTGTCCTTGAGTTTCTTAGACAGTTCTTGAGCTGAAGATTGACTGTCTTCCTGAAGCTTTTCAGATAGTTGTTGAAATTGGGTGGATATAGCTGTAGACAATAGTTTGACTGCGTCTGTCAATGCGAAGGAATTAGACGTGGACTGTGCGTTATCTGGCAACTTGGGAATCCCTCCTGTTGTCTTCAGTCATGAGAATATCTTCCTCCCTCATTATCCATGGAGAAAAAACTTTGTCTGACTGCACTGTTTGAGAGAGAGCCTCCGAATGGCGTTAAACTTTAACACACGGTAAAGCGTGCGTGCTTCAATAGAATACCTGTAGAACAGGTATTCTAAAAATACACTAACCAATCCGATCGGTTATCTATTTTAAACAACATTAGGTAACACGTTACGATAGATACACGTGTTGTGATACCTTCAATAAATACATGGATGTCGGTGAAGTCACGGACCTCATACTTTGTACTAATTAGGGTGTCGTTGAAGTCATGGGCCTATTATTAGGTGCTATATAGGCTGTCAGTGAAATCACGGGCCTCATACTCAGTACCATGTAGGGTGTTAGTGAAGTCACGGGCCTCATACACAGTACTATATAGGGTGTCAGTGAAGTCACAGGCCTCATACTCAGAACTATATAGCATGTCAGTGAAGTCACAGGCCCCTAGGGTGTCCATAAATTCACAGGCTGTATATCCATAATTATGTTAGCTCTAGACCTTGTATAATTTTATTTTACTTTAAATATATAGGTTCATTATCTTTCTAACTGTCAAAATTCATTAAATTCATAAAACACGGTGCGTAGGGCTAATGATCTGACTGTTTATCAATACGTCAAGAAAAGTACACATAAACGGCTTACGTATCAATATATGTGTGTTTACAATCGAAATCACGGGCTTCCTGTTATCGAGTTCACGTGAACTCAATAACAGGATGCCCGTGATTTCGTAAGCCGGTTATAGACTCTCCCGTTTACGTCAAATCCTAGACGGCCATTTTGCACGATAATCTGGCTGGGAGTACAACGTAAACATTGATTTGGGCTGAAGTCGAAAACATTTTTTTAAACACATAATGTCACTTACTCAAAGATCAAGTGGTCTTGTTCAACGTAAAACTGCCACTGTACAAAGTGTTGGGGCAGATGGGGGCGTGGAAGAACGAGACGACGAGGGGTATACCCCGGACGAAGAGGAAGACCACGATTCAAAGGAAACCAGATTGACTTTAATGGAGGAAATTCTTTTACTAGGGCTCAAGGACAGGGAGGTGCATATCCTATTGCCTGTTAAAAATGCATATTGCAAAATTATTGCACTTAGTTCAGTTAATTGCAATGCATATCTTACCTATGTAGGTAGGGACTGACCCAATCACTGGGCAGGATGTGATGTGTATTGATGAGGAACATATTTTTTTTTCTTTCTCAATTTGGTTTAGCTACCGTATAAGTGGAAATTTTAGCGAGACGCAAATTTAGCGATTTCTTCCTGAAATATGGTATTTTATTTTTAACGAGAAGTAAATTTAGCGATTTTGAAATGATAACTAAAGAGACTATTGCAAATAATACGCAATTAAATTTTAGCGATATTCAATTTTAGCGATGTCAGGATATTCGCTAATAATGCCAAAATTAAATCCTCGCTAAAAATTCTACTTATACGGTATATCTGTGTGAATTTTTTATTTTCCAAGCTTTCAAATTTATGTATTTATTTTTTATTAATTATTATTTAATATAATTAGTTATTTTTTATCTGACTTTATGGGTTAAACATAGTTCTTAATTTATGTTACTCTCATATGACTTTATTTATTTTATAATATTCACATTATTTTTATTTTTGTTGCTCTTAATGCAATCATATTGCTTTTCAGGTTTTTTTCTAATTAATTCAAAAAAATCTATTGATTCTTAAAATTTGTTTAATTCTTAAAAATTCGTTTTATCTGCCATATGTATGTGTATATATGTACATGTGTTTTAGCATGTTAATTTATGTTGTAAATGCGATATTTTAACTGTGATAGTCGGTTTAAGAGCTCTACAGAGCTCATTTTTCTTGTTATGCAATGTATACAATGCCGACTTTAAATAAAATGTACTTTCTTACTTAATTCGAATTTCCTCGAAAGTGTGTATATATGTCAGTATGTACCTACCTACCTAGTCCTTGTTATGCCCGTGGGCATATAGGGCAAGGACTAGATTTCTCCACTTTTCTCTATCTTTAGCATTTCTTTCTAGCTCTCCCAACGTTAGCTTGTGGTCCTTCATTTCTATTTCAACCGTCCTTCGCCAGTTGGTCTTTGACCGACCAGGTTTTCTCTTCCCTTCCGGTGTCCATCTAAGGGCTACTTTGGTGATGCTGTCGGCTGGCTTCCTCAACACATGCCCTATCCATCGCCATCTCCGTTTAGGCAACAAAGTTCGCATGTTGTCTGTGTTGGATTTCTCATTCGACATGTAGTTCCACATTTGTAATTTTGTTTGGCCAGAAAATCCTCATGATCTTTCTGAGGCATCCATTGTAGAAACTAGAGAGTTTGCATATGTCTCCTTCTGTCATGCTCCAGCATTCTGACCCATAGAGTAGGACAGGCAGTATGCAGCTGTTATATATTCTTATTTTTGTCCTTTTACTTATGTCATTTGTTTTCCAGATGTTCTTGAGGCTTATGAAGGCACCTCTAGCTTTACTTAGTCTGCCCTTTATATCTTTGTCTGCACCCCGATCTGATGTTACTATGCTGCCATGACAGGTATATGTTGTTGTGTTGCTCATGTCATTTCCATCAACCTGTATTCTTGTTGGTTGTTTGGTGTTTAATGACATAACTTCAGTTTTCCTGGCATTTATTTTAGTCCAATTTTTTTTCTGCATTTCTCTATAATTTTGCTGTTTTACTTTGCATATGCTTTTCCAGATGTCATAGTTCGACCAAGTCATCTGCGTAGTCTAGGTCTTCAAGACTTGTAAAGAGTGTCCATCTCATTTCTGTGTTATTGCCATTTAGGGTTGATTTCATTACCCAGTCAATTGCTAGTATAAAAAAAGAGAGCTGACATCACACATGCCTGCCTCACGCCAGATTTTACAATGAAGCAACCATCTGATGAGCTGCCTATCGAGCAATTAAACTCCACGTAAAAAAACTTTTATCAGTTCTACTATCTTTGATGGTATTCCGTAATGTCCTAAGATCTTCCATTAGCATTCTTTGTGGATACTGTCAAAGGTTTTTCGAAATATGTAAAGTTCATTATGAGCTGTCTTTGCCACTCTGTACATTGCTCTATAATATTTCATAGGGTAAACACCTGGTCGCAACAACTTTTCCCTTTCCTAAAACCTGCTTGCTCTTGTCTTATTTTGGCATTTATTGCAGTTTTAATTCTATAGATAATTATTCTGCTGAAAATCTTACTAGGTATTGATAGTAATGTGATGCCCCTCCAGTTATCGCAGTTAGTAAGATCCCCTTTCTTTGGCACTTTAATGATATTTCCTTTGGACCATGTCGTTGGTATTTTATGATTATTCCAGATCTGCTGCAAGGTTTGGATCTGTTTTGAATAGCTCTGCTGGCAGTTGGTCATTTACAGGTACTTTGTTGTTCTTAAGGGCTGTTATTGCTTTGAGTATTTCAGCTTTAGATGGTTCCTCTGCTTCAATTTCTAAATCACTGTCAGCTTCCGGTATGTGTGCCAGTTCATTAGGCTCCGGGCGATTCAACACTTCTTCAAAATATTCTCTCTATCTTTCATCTTGTTCCATTTCGGATGTAATGAGGTTGCCTTGCTTGTCTTTCACAGGCATGTTTGTTTTTCTTTTCCTTCCACTCAACTTTTTTGTTATTTGATAGAGAACTCCCATTCTTTGTTCAGAAGCAGGTTTCTCAGTTTCTCTTGTTATGCCTGCTATAAAACTACTGTAGAAGTACTTTTTTCCGCGTGGTATTAATTTACGCTATGTACGCGGTCACAAATTTTCTGCGAAAATTTGTCCATGCGTACTTAATATAAATGTAAGGCATATAGTGATAATCTAGAATATCCATGTAATTTTCTACCCGCGGATTAAACAGAAATTGAGATTCCGCGGAATTCTGACCCCGCGGAAAAAAGTACGTCTACAGTATTACGATCTTTCTTTGTTGCTTTCTTCACATCTCTATTGCAGTTGGAATATTGCTCTCTTAATCTCTCTTTTATTCTTTCAGAGTGGGTGTTACATAGCTTAGTTTTAAGGTCTTTCCTTCTGTCAATGATATTCCAAGTATCTGGTGTAATCCACTCCTTATGCACTTGCCTCTTAAATCCTGGACACTTCTTGCTTGATTCGCTGAACAGGTTGCAGATTTCATTCAAGTGTTCGTCAACCGCTTCCTTATCAACATCACCACATTGCAAGGCTTGAAATCTGTTCTTTAGCTCTAATTTAAAGTCTTGCCTCACTTTATTTTCTCTCAGCTTGCCTGTATCTATTCGCCTGATGTTGCTTTTTGGTGCTACCTTCATCAGCTTAAGCTTTATGCTGGCAGTAACAAGGTGGTGATCACTTCCAACATCAGCCCCACGCTTCACTCTTACATCCTGTAAAGATCTTTTCCATTTTCCATTGATGGCAATGTGGTCTATTTGATTTTTATCTCTCCCTCCAGTATATGAAACATCATAAATGAAACAAATGCTAATAATTATTTTAAAATATTTAATTGCAGTTTTATTTCTTAATTCATTATTTTTTAACAGATGGGAATAATGAAGTCTATTTGATGAACTCCGGTAGATCTTGACCTCTCTGAATTAAATTTCAGCATCGTTAATATATTTTCTATTTCTCATTTACAATTTCAGGGGTACACATCATTTTGGAATGACTGCATTTCTTCAGGTTTACGAGGTTGCATATTAATAGAACTTGCTCTGCGAGGAAGACTTGAACTTGAAAAAGCAGGCATGCGTAGAAGAAGTCTCCTAAACCGAAAAGTCCTTTTAAAATCATCCAATCCAACAGGAGATGTATTACTGGATGAAACACTGAAGCATATAAAAGAGACAGAGCCACCAGAAACTGTTCAAAGTTGGATAGAATACCTCAGTGGTATATATATTCTTTATTGATCAATTCATCTTGAAATAATCTGAGATTCCTCTGCCTTTAACCTTGCATTTTATATTGCGACATCAGCTCATCTGTACATTAAAAAAATCAGGGGTTAGAGTCAAAGGAATCTCAGATTTATTTTAAAATTGGTTCATTCTATCCCCACTTAGATCTTGATTAATCAATTAATCATAAAAGTGAGTAATGAATCCAAATTTTGTTTCACTCAGAACAAATATTCTACGATTTTTATTGAAATTCAAAACTAGAAAATAAAAGAGATTTACGGTTGTGACCTTCTAGGTTATTTCAAGGAAGGGATTTTTTCTCAGATTTTTTTAAATTTAATTACTTTTCTTTCTGAAAAATGCATCATAGTACCTACCGTTGTAGCATTAGTTGACCTGATTGGAGTCAGATCCATAGTCAGAAATACACCAATAACCATATATTTTAACTTTATGATGATTGAAATTGTTCAGTTTGACATAATCAGGTTTTTGAAATTGACTTTATTCATCTTGATATTTCTATCTCCTTCAGAAGTAATGAATGAAGAAATGGATGTTCTTCCTATATCTAATATATTTTTGTTCAAATTATTTTTAATATTCTTTATGAAATCCTAAGGGACATTCTTTTGATATTTTGCATCAATCACTCTTGAAATAAACAAAAACTCAGTGTAAAATTGTTTTACAGGAAAGCTTTTGGAATGAATCAGTTAAACACTGGTACATGTAAATATGTTTCCATTCAACCTTACCTAGCTTTATTACAAATTGCATTGAACTACAATACGTGATTTGAATTTAAAATATGACATTTCCTTTCTAGCTGAGCATCCTGTTAAACACTGTTCAGGACTCTGCTAGGCTAAAGAATGAATGAGAACCAATCTGCTCTATGGTCTATTTAGGTCACCTGAGTAAACTCATGTGTCCTTTTGCTATCCGTTTTCGTGCGTCGTCGTACGTCGTTTGTAAACTTTTGAACATTTTAAACTTCTTCTCTGGAACTACTGAACCAATTTCAACCTAAATTGGCATAGAGCATCTATGGGTAAAGGGGAACAAAAATTGTGAATTTCATGGTCCCTGCCCACCTGGGGCCTGAGGGGTGGGGCCAAAACCACTTCAATCTTTAAAAATCTTCTTTACTTCTGGACATCAAGCAGTCAAACTGTTGACAAGATTGTAATCAGCATTGAGTCCTCTACCAAAATTGTTAAAATTCATGGCCCCTGGCTCAAGGGTTCTGGTGTTAGGGTGGGGCTATATAGATCATATAGTAAATGTGCATTTTTTATTAGAAAATCTTCTCTGCTCCTGGGTATTAAATTAACTAACTAAGAACATAGTTCTAATGACCAAGAGTGCTTCTACCAAAATTGTGAATTTCATGGCCCTTGCGTCAGGGGTTCTGGTGTTAGGGCAGCTCTATATAGATCATATAGTAAAAGTGCATTATTTTTTTGTAAATCTTCTTCTCTGCTCCTGGGTATTAAATAAACCAACTAAGAACATAGTTATGATGACCAAGAGTGCCTCTTCAATAATTGTGAATTTCATGACCCTTGGGTCAAGGGTTCTGGTGTTAGAGTGGGCCTATATAGATCATATAGTAAAAGTGCATTATTTCTTTGAAAATCTTCTTCTCTGCTCCTGGGTATAAAATAAACTAACAAAGAATATAGTTATGATGGCCAAGAGTGCCTCTTCAATAATTGTGAATTTCATAGCCCCAGGATCAGGGGTTCTGGTGTTAGCGCGGGGCTCTAATGATTGTATGGTAGAAAAACATTAATTCTTCAAAAATCTTCTTCTCTGCTCTCGGTATTAAACTAGCTAACTAAGTACATAGTTATGATTAATAAGAGTGCATCCTCCAAAATTGTGAATTTTATGTCCCCAGGGTCAGGGGTTCTGGTGTTAGGGCGGGGCATTAAAAATCTTTAAAAATCTTCTTCTTTGCTCCTGGGTATTAAACAAACTAAGTAAGTATATAGTCATGATGAGCAAGAGTTTCTCTTCCAAAATTGTGAATTTGTTGCCCCTGGGTTGGGGGTTGTGATGTTCGGGCGAGGCTTTCTTGACTATATAGTGAAAATACATTGTTTCTTCAAAAATCATCTATGCTCCAGGGTATTAAACCAATGAACTATGCAAAAATACATAGTTATGATGAGGAAAGAAGGATCCTCCAAAACTGTGAATTTCATGGCCCCTGGGTCAGGGGTTCTGGTGTTGAGTGGGGCTCTTATGATTATATATAGTGAAAATGGATGAATTCTTTGAATATCTTTTCATTGCTCCTAGGTATTATGAGAATTATCTTAGTTTATATATTTATGATGAAGAAAGGTGCATCTAGCAAAATGATTAATTTCATGTTCTCTGGGTCAGGGGTATCGGGGGGGGGGGGGGGTAACATTACATGGTCTGAAGATAGATCAATGCTTTGAAATCTGCTCTGTAGTATTAATTAATCAACCATTAATGATGACATAAAATTTATGATAAAAGAATGACTGCACTTAAGGACGTTATTTGGAACCTTTTCGGCATACCCATTTAAAGCTTAATATTACAATAAATCGCTGAATTAATCTATGATTAATGTGCAAGCATATGCTTTTGACATTTTTTTTAATAATTTTTCGTCATACATATTTCAATAATTACATACAACGCTATTGAAAAGAACATGTTTAACCCATAAATTCCGGAAAATTGAACTGGACCGCTTTCGATTTTAAGGTCGCAGCAAAGGGGCGGAGACATTTAAATCGCATGGAAATGGATCATAAGCGCATGGTTTTCCGTATTTGATTTATATTATATATATTAAAAAAAAGACCGAGAAGAGGGTTTTGTGTTCATTTTGTACAAAAAATAAATGATTTATAACCATGCATATAATTTCATTAATTTGTATCCACGTAAGTAAGTAGAGTAAGTAAGTAAAGAGCGGAATATTAAGTGAAAAAACAAATAGTTCATAAAAACACAATTGTGATAAATATATGTATGCATTTTGTACGCTTAGGTTGGTAGTGTCTGTTTTGAGAATTATTGGTAGATGAAAATGACACTGAAATACATTTTATTTTTCTGAACATAATGGGCTGTCTTCGCATAAATGAAAAATAATTTGCAACCTGTCTATAGGATAATCTGAAATAAGTACATACAGTAAATCCATATATGACCTAGCCATTTATTGGCAGAGTTAATTTTAAAAAAAAAGTTTTGATCGGTATTCAGAGTACAAAGGACAATGCATTAAAAAAAATGAATTGCGGCTTCTACATTATCAAGCACTGCATAATTTTCTCTATCTAACGTTCTTATAAAATTGGAATGCTTAAAAGAAGGTGTTGCAGTTCTTTTGTTATTTTCCCTAAATGTGTAGCAGATTAAAAGAAGAATTTGAATGTTGCAGAAACTCGTAATAATTTTTTTCAAATGCAACAATATATAAAGCACAACGAGAAACAATATTTGGAAGCTGTGTATTGACTTCCAATTTGCCATTAAATCATGTGAAAATTAGTCTCACGGCAAAATATGTCAGATTTTCCGTTTTTTAAATAGGGAATCCCCATTGTTCTGAAAAAGTGCCTCCTTGAAACAAAATAATTTTTATATATATACAAAGAGGCAGGAATTTTCTTCAAAACTGTCATTTCTGATTTTTGTTTCAAAGAGGCACATTTTTGAAAAACGCAAAAATTAAATAAAAATTATTCTCAAAACGAAATGCAAAATGTGAACATTAAATAACCTTCTATCTATCGTGTCCGAAATGGTCTAGTGGATATGCTGGTGGGCTTCAATCTAGTACTTTTACCAGAGAATGGGTTCGAATCCTGGAATGGATTATTTTTGCATATTTTATTTTTTCTTATTTTTACCCATATGTTATGGTAGTGTAATTATATACGTATTTTGAAAGAGAGAGAGAATGTCAAAAAGTTAATTGAGTATAATAATTATAAATGAGAAATGCAGGATTAAATTTTTTTCCTTGCTGTGACTTAAAACTAATGCTTTATAAAATTTTAGTTTTGTCTTGGAAAGTAAATTTATTGTATTGTTTAAATAATTTATTTTTTACATACTTTAGTTATTGCAATTTTGAATAATTCTGGTCTCTGAATTAGTAGCCAAGATTTGATTTGAAACAAATGAAATGTCTTGGATGTAGCACCAACAGTGTGATTATGGGAGCAGTTTTATTTCATGAAAAACATTCCCGCACGATGTCTACAGTATATCTTTCAAAATGCTGCTTTAGCTTTTGTGCTTTTTGTTGTTCCAACCTTTTTCGTGCAAAATGACGAAAGTGTTTTGCTGTGTCAAGCAGGAAACACCCGCCGTAAACATGGTCCTCTACGCAGCTGTATCTATATTTAGACATAACGAGGGTATTTAAATGTCCTTCTCGATATATAGGGAATAATCGCGAGTTTCTGCAACACCCTCTTTCACTGCTCATGTATTATTTGCTGTCAAGCAGCGAATTAACTTAATCTTAAAATTATTAAGTGTTCGTACCTACAGTGTATTTAAAAAAAATGACATTTTCACTTTATCTTAATCGTATTGAATAATAATTGTGGACTTATTAGTAACGTAAAAATAAAATAAAAAATTAGTTTTTTTTTTAATGATGACTGTGGGCTTCTACCCTGACCTAAAACTGGTCGGGCTCCCGTTTTCAAATTTCTGGATCCGCCACTGCTATATGTACAGCATGTAATCAGCAAAATAATACCTTTTTCCTTTAAAATACCCCGAACAAAACACTACAGTGAAAGAAATCAACGTAAACTTTAAAACGCTAATAAAATGTACGCAAGGATCTTCAATATTTTGAAGATTGAAGTACATGTAGATATGAAAAGAATTTTCCAACGACTGACACAATGAAAGCGTGTCGAACACTTGAATGTCACGTGAGAAAAGTGATTATAATATCAAAGGGGTCACATGGGCTGAAACTCGTAACCTGCTAATTTAGTAGCTATCTCGAGCGAAGTTTGGGTACATTCTTTTTAAAAATTAGATATGAGCCGCAACTTGACCAACATTGTCCTTCGGATATGTATAAATTTTAGTTAAAATAAACATTCTGTGCAAATGAGAAAAATGGTCAAGTTGCGGCTCGATGTAAACAATGTCGTTGAAAACTGGTATGCATATGAATAACAATAGAAATGAGATAAAACTGTTAGACCCTTGTTTCAAAAGCTAGTGTCGCTCGGCATTATTTAATACTTTCATGTAATATAATAAACCAAAACCTGCTCTTAATATATTGTTTAATACCTATAAAACATAAATTTAATGAATTTTGGAATTTTATTTTGCGCAAATCATTGGGATCCAACTCTCATAGCTTAAGTGCAGTCATTCTTTCCAAAATTTTGAAATATGTGGCCCAGGGTCAGTGGTTCCTGTGGGGTGGGGTGCACCACAGGTTATAAAGTGAAAATGCATTTTCTCTTTCTTACTCTGATCTAACTCTGGGTATGAAGTAACTAGAGTAAGCATTTTAAGTGTATAATTATGATTAGCAATAGCGCTTCTTTCAAAATTGTGAATTTCATGGCATTTGGTTTAAAACACAAACCAAATTCTATATTTGGAAAGTTGTTTCATGATACTCAAGTGACCTATAAGGCCCGTGGGCCTCTTGTTTGTTAAGTTTCCACAGGATAAAACAAAGGTTATTTCTTTTACAGGTGAAACATGGAATCCTCATAAACAAAAGTACCAACTGAGAAACGTTCGTGAACGATTGGCCAAGAACTTGGTGGAGAAAGGCTTATGTACATCAGAAAAACAGAACTTTTTATTATTTGACATGGCAACTCGTCCACTTACTGATGGTGGCATCAAGCAAAAACTTTTTGAAAAAGTCCAAGAATCTGTGCTCAGTCGCTGGACAAATAATCCCCAGAAAATGGACAAAAGAATGCTCTCCCTTATTTATCTGGCTCACGCCTCGGATGTTTTAGAAAACGCCTTCGCTCCATTATCTTATGACGACTATGAAGTGGCGATGAAGCGTGTACAGGAGTTATTGGGCCTTGAGTTCGATGCAGAGAGCTTGAAAGAGGGTGCAAATGAACTCATGTGGGCAGTGATAGCAGCTTTTAGCAAATAGGCGGGGAAATGTCGTGTAGGGGGGAAAATGGGACAATTATGTTATTTAAAGATAAAAAAATATGTAAATTCAAAAGAATAATTTTTGTTTATGTTTGTTGTGAATATATTTCAGGACCATAACATTGCAAATTCTGACAGAATTTTTCCATTAGGTTGCAAGTAAAACTTGTGTTTATTTTTCAGTCAAGACTTTTTAATGAAACTGCAAAATCAACTTCAATTAAAAAAATAATTTAGCCACCACTCAGATTTTTTAAATGTTTAATGAATTCTGTGTTGAAATAAACACATTTTTAAAACATAAAGAAAGGTTTAGAAATGAGAATTTCTTTAAATAAGAAAGCTACAATTATATCCATTAGACTATCAGATAAATATATGCTCTGGTCTTTCATTAAACTCTGCTTTGCAGTTAATACCATTTGTGTAGCCACTTCTTTCATAGCAGTGAGTAAATTGCACCAATATTTATAGAGCTTTTCATGATATAAATTGATTATTCAGACAGGGTTCATATGTGAACACGTGTATGCATCACACACTAACATTCCTACTGAGTTAGTATAATTGTTGAATAATTCTTTACAATGTAAAATCCATTTTTGCATCAATTATCCGTAATGGATTGAAAAAACCAGTTATAGAATGCTTAAATAATGTACACCTCTTCTGGAGGTAAAGTTTATCTCCAAGATTCATACATGTAGTGTTCAAAATTGAAAATTAAAATTCTAATGCATTACAACTGAGCTTGATGCAAGTGACTGATGCATTGTGATCACCTCAGTTTTACCTTGTGATGTAAATATGTGTGGTAGTATTGTGATATAGTTAGATGTATCTTGGATTTTGCAACAGTTTTTGTTGCATGGCATTTATGTTTTTTTTTTAAATTGCCACAAAAAAGATGAATATTCCACTGTAAATCGGAAGGAATAAAAAGAAACAAGAGTTAGAATATTTTTATTGAAATATTGAGAAATGGGGTGGGGTGGGGTATATTTTATTTAGATGCGAGTCCTATAAGGTCAAAAGCAACATACATGTACTTTACCTTTCTCAATGATAATTTTACAAGAAATTCTTTATTTTGAATCATCAAATGGTATTAGACCTAAAGAAAAACTCAGAATATTTTACCAAACAGAAACTAAATGAAAAAAATTACTCATATTTTTTTTCATTAACCAAAATGTAGATTTAGCTGGTATTATTCAGAAGAATTACACAGTATTACCAGGCATTATGAAATTAGAGCGTTTGAATTATTCGGAGAATAATGCTTCCAAAATTGCATATGTCCGTACATGCTTTTCATATGTGCATAGCCATATACATGTAATTTATAAGTATTTTTCTTTTTCATACTGTACATTTTATTATGTTTATTTCTACTTAAAGTTGTTTTTTTTGTTTTGGTGTTTGCCTATTCTCCTTATTAAAGACTTACTGTTTAATTCCAATATACTATCTAAATTAACACATGATGTAAAGTATGGCTAAAGTTTCAAAAACCTGATTGTGGTGTTGGAAATCCTCGATTTTTTTGTGAAGAATCAATTATCAGTATTTGTTTTTACTATTGGATGATTGTTGTCTGGGACAATCCCTTTCTCTTCATCATGAAATATGTGAAATTGACAGGTTCTGTCTGGATCAAACCTTCAACTTATCCAGAGCATTTATTTGTTAGTCTTTAAGAATACTTTAATGTTTATGATTCTTTTTCTCTTTTTTGTTATATATTCCTGATTTGTTTTATCAGTTATCACTGTGTATTTGATATCACATACATGTGTTTCTCTCTGCTAGATGATTTTCATCTACTGGTTTTAGGGTGTTGGCAAGTGAAATTGTTGATTATAAAAATAATTATGTTTGCAAAAATACTGTACATTGCGTGTACAGTATTTATGTCAATGCCTCTGAAACTGTTTTATTTGATTCTATAGAAACTTACAAATCCAGGAATAAATGTACACGTATGGCATTTTTTTATGGAGTCAATCATATTCCACAGAATGTTGTATTTATTTTTGTCTTGGGAGAACATCTGTATATAAGGTAATATTTTGATTTTATATTCCTCTGAAGTACATCTAGATTGCTTAACTGTAATCGTCCTTATGTCGTAGAATTTGTAACACCTCAAACTTTATTTATAATGTCTCGTCAGTGGTATGACTGTAAGGAGTGAGGTGTGAAAAGTGGTTTGTATGGTCAGATGGTCAGACCAAGCTTTACAGAAAGCAACACAGAGTGGTATTGGTCCCTGTATATTACCATGTTATATCAAAATTATGAATACTTGTAATTATGAAGTAAAAGTATTTAATAAAAACAAAGATTTTTATATATTTCATTTATCTGTGTTTATTTGTGGAACGCAGGTGATTTACCCTGAAGAAATGCAGGTAATCTTCCCCTCCAAACATTTTTAGTTCTGATCTCTCTTCCTTTGTATACATGTAGAACGATGAATGTTATATACAATTTGTGCCTTTTCGAGGACAGAACAATGATTTTACAACTTGTTATGCAGTCCATTCTATTTTACTCGTTTACGTTTGAGGAGTAGCGTATTGGAAAAACCTTGGCAAGCGCAGATTAGAAAAAATAATCAATTTCTTGTACAGTGTTTAATTTGGAATTTTTAATGTATTTTAGGTGCAATTTATTTACAACTCATAAATAAGGATTTAATATTGAAGAGGGTGGTAGCTAACATAATAATTACTGGCATATTACTGAAAATGAATTGATGCTTTGAAATATTTAATATGATGAGTAAGGGTGCCTTTTCCAAAGTTGTGAAAATATGTGGTCCCAAGTTCAGGGGTTTCTGTAGGGGGTGGGGGGGGGGGTACTACTGATAATATTGTGGAAATGCATTTTTTGTGGTACCTCTTCCGAAATTGTGAATTTCAGGACCTCTGGTTTAAAGCACAAACCAAGGTTAATTATTGGGAAGTTGTCACATGATACCTAGGTGACCTATAAGACTCGTGGGGGGTGTCCTACGGCCATGTATGGGCTCGTGGTTTTGAAATTAATGTTGTTAGTACTTTCAGATATGATAATGAAATTTGATTGTTCAATCTGGTAGAAAAATTCTTTTTGAAGGGGTGTAATTTTTGTTGTACATCCCAGATAGCAAGACATAGTTGGGCCAACGTTGGCCCAATTTTTTTTTCCAACGTTGGCCCACTGTTGGTAACCTTACGTTTGCCCACGGTAATTTTGCTCATCAGCCCAACGTTGGTCCAACATGTTGGCATATTGTTGGGCCAACGTAGATATAATTGTATGACAACTAACAGCCAACCTTAACAAGCATTCTGAGAGAATTACATAAGCAATACATGTCCCCTACCGGGTTCCCCTTTTTCTTCAGGATGTCATTTTATAATAAGGAAAAGTCATGTCCAAGGTAAAACTGAAAGATTTTCAAGTTGTAAATGCCTTAAAACTAATAAAATAATCCACATTAAGACGAAAATTTAACTCGTTTCTCCACCGTCTTTTCCTCGCTTCATATTTTTGTCGACAATCGGAAGTTAGCGCAGTTCGAACCCGATCTTAATTTAGCGATTATGAAAAATATTCAAAATGCCATAATTCTGTCAAATATCATCGAAGCGAAGCGAAATTCAGACTTGATCTGTAACTCATTAAGATACACTCACATATCAAAATTCAGCTCAATATCTGCAAGCGTTTAGAAAAAAAGTGCGGAAAACCAAGTGGGACAGACTGACGGGGACAGACAGACAGACGGACAGACAGACAGACAGACAGACGGACGGAAGGACGGATGGACGGACGGACGGACGGACGCAGAGGAAACCTATAGTCCCCCCGGTTTCACCGGTAGGGGACTAACAACTGGTTGGTTAGGTTGGCCCAACGTTGGCCCTTTGTTGAAATGTGAGATGGCATATTGTTGGACCAACGTAGTTATGAGTGTATGCCAACTAACAGCCAACCTTAACAACTGTTTGGTTAGGTTGGCCCAACGTTGGCCCTATGTTGAAATGTCAGCTGGCATATTGTTGGGCCAATGTAGTTTTTAGTGTATGGCAACTAACATCAAACCTTAACAACTGGTTCGTTAGGTTGGCCCAATGTTGACCCCTTTTTTTTTTACAATGTCAGATGGCAAATTGTTGGGCCAACGTAGTTATTACATATAAACATTTGTAATTGGTTTAGTGATTCTTTACATAAACCTATTTTATGACTTTTTAAAATAATTAATACACAATTCAATCTGCATTCATAATGCATACATGGACATGTTCAATGAAAACATTACTAATGATTCACTGTGATAATATTTTATATACATGAATTCAATCATAATTTACAAAATAAATTTAAAAATAGACAATAGATGTAAAATTATCGATTAAAAGTTCTTAATCAGGGCTCACTTCCTTTATTATAGTCCTTTTGTTGTATTCCCGCTCTTTTTCCGTTGTAAAGACGAATAATGACCCCCATCGAATAATGACCGGGGGTCATTTTTTCGCTGTCGAAAAATGACCCCCGGTCATTATTCGGAGAAAAATGACCCTTTTGCCCGTAGAAAAAGTGTCACTTCCCTAAAAATTTGCAGAACCCACGTGAAGAAAAATGACCCCCGTAGAAAAATGACCCCCTGTAGATTAAAGCTAAAATTTTTAGGGAGCAAAAAAAAAATTGGATAAAGAAGCATATTGGCCAAAATGCTCACCTGAGCTTATTGGGAATAAACTGATGATATGTTGATCTCATAACATTATACAATTTTACTCAAATGGTGTTAATTAAATATTATTTATTACATATCTATATTTATATTTAACTTATTTATTTTATATATCAAACCCCAAATGTTAAATAAACAAAGAAAAATAGAAGTCAGATTTTCATGGGCGATATTTCGATATTCCTTCATATCTATCGATATGCGTATCGTCCTCACATGTATCACGATATATCGATATCTCGATATATTGTCCCAGCACTAAAACATCGTCGTTTATAAACTTTTTTAACTGAATAATATTAAACAATATTTTATCAAGAATAATTTTTTTTTATTCAATTAACATAAAAGATAAGTCCACCATTAAAAAAATAGTCAAATGAACTCTATTATTTTTAGTCAATTATTCACCCTATATTTGTATATATTTTTTAGACGTCTTTGTCACAATGTTTTCAATCTTCAATATGATGAAGAACATAGCCAAATGTTTACAAAAAATGATTAAAATATAAACCTTTCCCCTCTAACTAATGAAAGATAGGCTATTTACCGAGACTCATATTCTTGACGTTTTTGCACTTACACGGGATTTAATAATGACTGTATGGGGTTACTTTCAGATTAAATATTTATCAGAAATTGTACTTTTCTTTAAAAAGATCATATTTAATATAAAAATTGTAATCAAACACCAAAAATATGAATAGGTAACAAATAATTGTTAAATGGAATGCACATCATTTCATTATAGATATCACAAAAATGTACACACGGTCAAACGATCTACAGCACGTACATCTTTGACTTAAACACATTTTATCAAGATATTACACTATATAGCTGGCAACTAAAGATTTCTTACGATTTATGCATTCCTTCAAAATGGTTACATACCATTCAAATTATTACGAAAGTTGTATGTACATTGTAATTTCATTACACTAGATAGTCTTGGGTTTGTCAACTTCAGGTCTAGCTATAGTAAATAAAAGGTGCCTACATATTTTCTCTTATTCTACATATTCTCTTATTCTTCTTCCATGAAGCATTATAAACCAAAAAATATATGAATTGAATCAAGATTATGTTGGCATGATTGTATTCTGTGAATTTCAAAATGCAGTATTTTCTACCATTTTTATTGAAGCTGTCAAGTACAGGAAAAAGTGGCATTGAATTAATTATGACGTCTTAATGGGTTAGCACAGTTTAACACATTTACCAATTATGATGTCATATGAAGTAGGTTCTACGTTAAAAGAAATGTAATGAATACTGTGTGCTAAATCAAAAGTTTATGTCTACATGTATAGTTTTTGCATTAGAATGACTGTGTATTTTACACTAGCCCATAGCTTTACAGAGCATATTTTTAGGTCTTATACTTACCCCACCCCCTTTCTAATTTAGGAGGAAGTCGATATTGAACAAAAGCAAAAAAAACCCACCATACTTTTATTTTTCTATAAGAAGGAATTAAAAATAAGCTAAAAATAATCTACTATTCTACTAATTTTTGACTGTTACTTTGCCACAATACTTTCAAGTATACCTCCACCAACATTTAAAGTATGCTTTGAACATGGCGAAGAAAATTATGATATGATAGTACTTGTGTGAAGGCTTAACTTCATTTCAATATTTTATCTAGAGCCTCTTTCAGAATTATTGAAAGGTATAGAATTTTATTTATATTTTTTGCTTTTCATTTATTATTATTATTTTTTTTTTGGTTTTGATTTAAAGTAATGTTATTTTTTTTTGGGGGGGGGGGTAAAAATTTCTTCCTCTTTCATTGTCAAATAGGCCAAACTTAAACAAACTAAAAGTTGAAATGACGGAAAATTTAATTTTTCCTATTAAAGAGTATTTAAACCTGATTTTTGCATGGTTTGATTTCTAAAAACAAGTGGAATATCATTCTTTAAGCAAACATTATAAGGAGGATATTAAGATTGATTGATTGTATATTGTTTAACGTCCCTCTTGAGAATTAGGAATATTAAGAAGAAATTTTATTTACTTGACAATTAAAGTATCTCTTTTCAAACACAATTTTAGCATTGAAAGACTACGTGAATCTCTTAATTATTTTATACGACTTTTTGTATTTTTCTGGTTACAGAAAATGTAAAAATTAGTTTCGCTGTGAAAAAGATATCAAAGAGTGTATATTTTGTATCACTTTAAAGGGGGTCATTTTTCAATGGGTCATTATTTTATAGGACTAACATATAAAATAATGACCCCCTAGGACCCTTTTTCTACAAAAAATGATTTTTTCTACGGGTGGGGGTCATTTTTTGTCGTTGAAAAATGACCCCCCGGTCATTATTCGATGGGGTCATTATTCGTCTTTCACACCGTCCCTTCGTCGCTTCCCGTTTTTTCTTCATCTTGATCTTTGTCATACGTACTCATACTTTATACACTTCTTTATGCATGGTCTTCGATTTCATCGTTATTTACATGTACCGCCACAACATTTGTTTTCCTTGCAGTCTCTGACTGAATTTCTTTGTTACAATAGTGTCTGTAATAGACAGTTAAAT